TCTGCGCTGCGCGCTGGCCCCTGAGCGCGGTGCAGGCCGCGGGCAGGCAGCCAGAGAAGCTGCGTTTCCGCGGGCCCCTCGCCTCCTTGGTGGCCCCGCGGGAGGCTGCCCTGGCCGCTGACGCGATCGAGCTCTCGGACCCGGCGGCGCTCCTGCTGGGCCGCGCGGCGGGCTTTGCCGAGGTGAGCGCGGAGCTGCTGCGCGAGTCGACGCGGGTCACGGCCGTCGCTTGCAGGTGGAGGCGGCGAAGTACCATCCACAGGCTGGAGAGCTCAGCGGGGCTCCTCTGGCTGCGGCGCGCCTCTCGCAATTCACAGTGCCATGGGCGTCGTTTGCTGGGCATGGGTAACAACATGTCGATGATTTGCGCTCATGAAAAGGGTCGTGCGTCAGACTTCGGGCCCTTGTCGGGTTGCCGCTGCTCCTTCGCCATCTCAGTTGCTTGCAACCTGAAAGTCACGTTCAGGTGGGCCCCCTCAGAGCTCAGACCTGCTTACGTTCCTTCAAGACGATTCCAAACTGGTCCGGGGCCGTCTTGGCCCAAGCAAGGAGATCAGTTTCAGCGACACCGCGCCAAGCATGATCCAGGAGGCGCGCACGCTCCAGGCGGCGCTGCCTTTCGGCCAGCCGAGCCTGCCCGAGGCGGCAAGCGCTTCGCCAACCCGGAAGCGAGCCGCTGGTGGTGGCGGATCCGCAAGGAGCAGAGCGCAGCTGCCGCCGCCTTTCGCCCTGGAGCAGGCCCGCTTGCTGCCCCGCCTGGGCTTTCTGGCAGCCAACAAGGTGCGGCCGTCCACTCAGGTGCTCTACCTGAAGGTGTTGCGGCTGCTGGCAGGTTGGCTCATGGTGAGCGTGCTGCCCGACTGGCCGGTGGCCGTGTGGGACGCGGCGCTGGCCGACTTCCCCCCGTGGGCCTTCGACCAGGGGGCGGCGCGGGCGACGGCGGCGAGGCTTGGCGCAGCGGTGCTCTGGGGGCCCCCGCAGCCCCATGTCGCTCCCCTTCAGAGGTGCTTCCCGCAGCTGGCCCACGCGCTGGCGGGATGGAAGCGCTTGCATCCGCCAGGCTCGCGCCCGCCATTACCGGAGCTGGTGGTGCGTGCGGCGGCAGCCTGGCTTGCGAAGGAGGGCGACTTTGCGCTCGCCCTGTGCGTCATGCTGATGTTCGAAGGCTACCTCCGACCCTCGGAGGCACTGGCGTTGCTGGCGGCGCAGCTCACGGGGCCGTTCGGCTCAACTTCCAGCGCGGGCTCCGCGGAGCTGAAGCAGCCAGGCAAGACAGGAGAGATGGATCACACAGTGGCGTTGGGCCTCCCAAGGCAGCAGGCCCTGGCTTGGGCCTTGGCGCGCCTGCGGGTCTCCCGCCCCGCTGCCTGGCGCCCGCTGTGGGATTTCGAGTACAGCCTCCTCCTGCGGCGCCTTGGCCAGGCGCTCGAGGCTGTGGGAGCCAGCTGTTTAGCAGGCACGCTCTACAGCCTCAGGCACGGCGGCGCCAGCCACGACCGCCTGACGGGCAGCCGCGCGCTGATGGAAGTGCAGCAGCGCGGAAACTGGCGAGCCTTCAACTGCGTGCGACGTTGCGACAAGCACGGGCGAGTAGCCATCGAGTGGATGAAGATCCCAGCGCAGCAGCGTCTAGCCATCGAGCGTTTGGCCAGTGGGCTAGACGACGTTTGCAAGCAGTTCTCTCAGCGGCCGTGATGAGCGGCACAGGTCGTGATTCGCGTGTGTTCATCGAACTCCTTAGTGGATCAGGGAACCTGGCTCGTCATTGACGCCAGGCAGGGATGTCCTGCACGGCCCTCAATTCGATCTTACTAAACCGGCGCCCTGGGCGGTGCTGCGTGGTTGGATACAGAGCGGCAAAGTCAAAGCTCTGTTCATGGGCACGCCGTGCGAGACTCTCTCTCTCTCTCTCTCTCTCTCTCTCTCTCTCTCTCTCTCTCTCTCTCTCAGGCGCGAAGAGGTGGGCCAGACTCGCGCATGCCTAGGCGCCTTCGAGACATCGATCACATGTTTGGCTTGCCTGGCTTAGCGGCAGCAGACCAAGCCAAGCTCGAGCTCGGCAACCTTGTAGCTAAGCGTGCAGGGCATGTTTGGAAGCTTGCAGCTAAACTCAACATTCCCATCGGGGAAGAGAATCCCTGCAGCAGCTGGCTGTGGCATTTCCCCGACAGACGTCGCCGCCTGTCCTCTCGTTTCTTCTTTGAAGCTAATGTTGACCAGTATGCTGCTGGGCGTCCGTTTTGTGCGCGCACTCGTTTTCACTTCTTGCATTGCCGCCCTTCTTCCCGTCTCCTGTCTATGATGTGTCATGGCCGTGGTGTTTGCGATTTCGCAGGACAGCCTCATCTTGAGCTGTCTGGCAAAGACAGGGACGCCATTCATTTTCGCACGCGCCAAAAGGCGTCCTATCCTGATGCCATCTGCCGACAGCTCGCGTGCGTGTTCTCGCAGACTATTGTTGCTCGGTTCGTCTCTCGTAAATGGATGTTAATGCACGGTTAACCAGCGCAGTGCTTGCCGACGGGTACTGTTGGTCATGGGCGAGCGCCGCCTGCCAAAGCTTCCTGTGCCAGGCTTCGTGTCTCAAGAAGTCTACTGGAAAAAGAGATGCATGTGCGTTGCGCAACGAGTTTGCATCGCACAGATCCGTTCCATTCTCCGCTCCATAATCTTTCTGGCTCCCAAGGCCAGCCCGATGCCTCCAGACTTTCTCTTTTCGCGGAGCGGCGAGTGCCGCCTGCCAAAGCTTCCTGTGCCAGGCTCCGTGTTTCAAGCAGTCTACTGGAAAAAGGAAATGCAATCTTGAACCACCTTGGAGGATTGTTTCCCGGATTGAGCTCCTTGAGATCTTTTCCGGGTGGCCAGCGGGACGGGCCGAAGCCCCCGGGTGAGTTCTTTTGGAAAAGAACCAATTCCAAAAGCCATATCGTCTGGCACGCCAGGCACCCCTGCGATGAATCGACAGGGGGCGGCGGATCCTAGTGGCCTTCGGCCAGCCCCGCCACCGTCCCTGGGTTGTGGGTCTGAGGCCTCTTTTACTTGTGTTGGGGTGTCGTCTCGGGGGCCTCTTGGAGGCGGTTGGGGCGCCTCTTGGGGGCCTCTTGTTGCCTCGTGGGGTATCTGTTGGGTCTCTTGGAGGCCTCTTCGGCGCGTCTTGGGCGCCTCTTGGGGCCTCTTGGAGCCTCTTGGCCTCCTGGGGACCCCTCGGGGCTTCTCGGAGCGCTTCTTGGGCAATCTGGAAGCCATCTTGGGCCGTCTTGGGTCTTGGGGCCTTCTTGGAAGCGTCTTGGGCTGTCTTGGGTTGGTCTTGGGAGCTTCTTCAGCCGTCTTGGAGCGTCGGGAAGCCGAAAATGCGAGCAGGCCAAAATCCTTCAAACACCTTATTGCAATATACGTAAGATGTGGGCCTCTTGCAATCTGCGATTTGGGCCTCTTGGGACTCTCTCGGGAGGCCTCTTGAAGCGCTCTTGGTTTTTTTTTGGGGACCTCTTGGGTCGTTGTGGAATCATATTCGGGCGCCTTGGAGCACTCTTGGCTTCGGCAATGCGATGATTGAGTGATCTGCGAGGGTTTATGCCTTCGGGGACGCGAATCTTTAGTAAAGCACGAGGACTTGTTGCATCGGGGACGCGATACTTGCATGTGATGCGAGGATTTATGGCCTCGGGGACGCGACTACTGTGTATGTTACAATGGATAAGGGTTTACGGGACGCGAGCATTGCATGATTTAGTAGGGATCGTTGCTTCGGTGAAGTAAGAATGGTTTAGTTTACGGGGGTTTGCGGCCTCATGCGAATATGGTGTAATCTACGAGGGCTTCTGGCCTCGGGGGCGCGACTCTCACGGATTTTTAAATGTCACACGCGGGTGGTAAATTGTCGGTTTAGGGCTTCCCTCCTCGCGCGGACTTCAACACTTTACATTATGAAGCAGAAAGCAGGACTGTAACATTGGAGACTTGAAGCTGCAATTCGTGCAAGGGTCAGCAACTTCGGCCTACAGCCTGGTGGCCCCTCAAGGGGGCTGGCGCACATATATATATATACACATACAGACTCATTGATGTACTCATTATCGGTCTTGTTCTATGTTCATGTTGTTTAGGACTTCAGTGCTGATTTGCATTTCAATTATACTTTCTATTTTCACTGAGATTGGCAACTGGTCGTTGTTGGATTAGCATGTCGATGCCTTCACGCTGTGCGTATAGATCGCAGGTTGATTTGCATGTCGGTTTACACTTCGATTTGCAGTTCGACTGGCATATCGAATTCTACGTCGCTTACATTTCGATTATCATTCCACTTTTCAATTCGAGTCGCATTTGCATCGCAACACGTTTCGATTGGCATGTCTGCTGCATCTGGGTTGGCATTCCGATTTGGTGCTTCCGCTGTAGCGCTGGTCTCATTGCAGGATTTGTGCTTGCTTCAAATGTTCAGAATGGACCTTGCGCCCCAGTGCGGGTCCGATTCCTTTTTCGTCGTTGACCCAGGTTTTGAGGACCAAGGTTTTCTCCGACACCCCAGTCGGCGGGTAGAAGAGGATTCAACGCAGTGTGAAGGGATGAGTGGGAGGGGTAGAATGTCAGGTGTGGCGCGAGCGCATCCAGTTTGCATCTCTCCTTTCTTTTTTCTCCTCTTCCCCTTCCTCCTTCGTCCTCTCTCCTCCTGCACTTTCTCGTCCATCCTTTCTCCACCCTCCCGCAAGACTGGACCTTGGACCCTTGACAGGAACCGCTTTGACTCTCTTTCCCAGCCGCGCCCAGCCGTTTTGTCGAGGAAGCCCTCCGAGGGCCAGCGGCGACCCTTCGCCTTCCAGGTCCCTCCTGGCGTGCGCGCGCGGGCTCTCTCCGTCTGTCGCTGGCGCTTCGGCCCTGCCCGCTGTCACCGCGAGGGTGCTGCGCAGCTCGCTGCCGAGCAAGCAGACTCCCCCGTCCCCCTCCTCCCTCTGTCGCCCGTGGCGGCCACCGTGGCGGCGGCGCGCCGCCTGCCCGAGGCGCCAGGGCCTCACGCGGCCGAGTGGTGCTGCAGGCAGTCGCCACGCCCGGCTTGCCCAGAGTGGGCCGTTGCCGTCTTTGCCGTTGCCGTCGGCGTCGTCGTCGTCTTCGTCGTCGTCGTCGTCGTTGGCGTTGTTGGCGTCGCTGCTGCCGTTGCTCCTCCAGGAGGGAGAGGGGGAAGAGTGAGAGAAGGACCAGGAGGGGCTCGGAGGCAAAAGGCCGCCTCCCATTGACTTTGGCGTGCCAGGAATTGGGTCGATCTCGTTGTCGACTGCAAGCGTGCTGGCGATACTGTTGGCGATCACGTGCCACCTCGTGCAACAATACATTTCGTGTACTTGCATTTCCTGGAGTTGTGGGGGGAACCGTACATTCAGACCCCCCCGGCCGTCCCCAGGGCCGTCCCCAGGGCCGTCCCCAGGGCGCGTGCTGGGAAACCTTGGTTTCCCTCCCATCTAGGACCACAAGCGCGTAAAGGTCGTGCCGAAATGAGGCGGGCCGCCTAGCGTACCTTACCAGTGGGGCCCACCCGATGGGAATCGGGTGGGGGAGGGCTGCATGTGCTGCCGGTCGGTTATTCCGTCAGGATGTAACATCGCGCGGGGTCGTGCATAGGGTACGCGGCTGGGACAGCCCACCTTGGCATCCTCCCCGAGGTCGGGTCACCGAAGCTCGTGCCAGCCGCAACCCAGGCTTGGGGAAAGCGCCCACTCTGCTACGAGTCGCTTTCATCCCCGGGCTTATCCGCGGTGTACCGAGTATCTGCGGTGCACCGTCTGGAGCCCCCGAAGAGAGCTTCAAGAGGGCCCCGAGAGGTCCCTGGGTCACCCAGAGATGGTTCGGCAGCTTCTCCGGGAGTCACGGAGACTTTTCGGGACCTTCTTGGAGTCTTCTCGGGGCCCTCTTGGGGCTTCTTTGAGCGCTCCCAAGCCGTCTTGGAGACACCCAAGAGAGCTCCAAGAGGACTGTGGGAACTTCGATCCTCTGTCTGCACGCCCAATTGGGATCGCAGCGTGCCTGCGAACATGGCCGAAATTGCGGCAAGAACCTGTAACGACTGACAGTTCCCAGCCTGTCTATTCGAATGGACCAAAAGACGCTACCGTTGTCTAGAAGTCTGGGGTGATGGGTTGGCACGGTGACTCCCACGCCGCTACGCACTTCAAGTTCACAGTTAGCGCTCGGCATGTCGATTCGAATGGATCGACCACAAGTTGCTGGCGTAGGTTCGTCTTCGGGGGTTGCATGGGCTTGGAGGGCCTGGCAACTCCGTCGGCGGGAGCAACGTCGAGTTCCCAGGACTCCTAACATTATATTTTTGGGGGTGTTGGCCCCTCATGGGTTGCATCACGCACAGTCCGACTTTTGACAGAAGCGCCAAACCCTCAGCATCGCGTGCATTCATCGACAGGCCGACTATCGGCCACGCGGCCGGGACAGGGGTTAGCAAGATGCCCCCCCCCCCCCGTGGGGAACGATTTTTGAGCCTCCCTCCCCGGACAGAGGCCTCATCGTCGTCGGCAGCATTTGCCATGCCCCCGTGAGTATGGGCGGTTGGTTAATTATGGCGAACGAAGTGAGCAGTTGCATTTAACAAGGTCTCCCCAGTGTTGCTCCCTAAACCTGATTCCGACACGAGGGTTCGGCTTTCGAGGTGCAGAGGCTCAGTGATACGGACTTCATAAGTTCAAATGTAGCCCTCCGCCTGTCGATTCAGTTGGATCGGCTATTGCACCCCCCCGTGACCGCTGCCAAGGCAAGTTCGCTTTCCCTTTCTGTGATGCAACCCCGTAGGGCCCTGACTCGTGAGGATCACCAACGGGCATGGGGTGAAGGGGGGGTGGAGGCCAGCGAACGCGATAGTGGGGTGGAACATCGCCAAGCGCTCCGCACTAAGCACCTCATCCGCCATCCCCCGTTTCCGGCCACGAGGTTGGTACCCCATTTCATCGAAAAACACCACAAGTTGACTGGTGAAGGGAACCACCCGTGCCCTAACTGACAGCCGTGACTATTCTCCTTTTCACTCCCTCCTCATTCCCCCTCTCCCTCCTCCTCCCCCTTCCTCCTCCTCATCCCTCCCTCCCGCATCAGGCACGTGCACACGAAACTCATCAGGAACCTCATCTCGCTGCCGCCGAACTCGGTGAACACGACGTTCCTGAAGGTTGCGCTGGCTTCTGGCCGCGGGGGTGGAGGAGGGGGGTGGGGGCATGGCTGGGAAGTCTGGGTCGGAGGATGAGGAGAAGGAGGCGAAGGATGAGGATGAAGCAGACGACGAAGATTCGAATTATGACGAGGGGGAGGAGCATGCCGATGAGGACGATGTTCTGGATGAGTATGATACGCAGGACATCGACTTTTCAGTTTTTATGGCCGTTGGTGTACTTATGCTTTTTGGTGCATCTAACAAGTTCGTGGGTGGCTAAGGGAGGGTCCCATGCAGGAGGAGGGCAGGACATGACGGCGTGGATGGATGCAGCACGGCTCTGACAGCACAGAGTATATAATGTAGAGAGGAACCGAAGAGAGGGCGAGGTCGGAGTACTGATCCCCTGCTGTTTTGTGTATCTCGCGGTCCTGGGTAGGATCGGGACCTCGTTCAGCAGCTATGTGCGACCGACACATGTAAGACAAGTTCGAATATATGCTCGTACGCAATATAACGTAACATATTTGTTGTGTACACACATGTGTATATACAGATATATAATAGTTCAACGTTTGCCGACACACGGATGTATACACGTACAAACATATATATATATATATATATATATATATATATATATACACATGGATCTATTTAGACACATGTGTATCCACCTACATCGGCAACGGCAGGCATGGGCATACAGTACACATGTTTAGTTACCCCTTGAGATCATCCATCTCACCTTGAATGGTGTTCTAACCCTCCCTCCTTCTTTTTACCACACGTATATTCACCAGGTCGTAGCAACATCATTTCTCACTCGCCTCAAACTGAATTCCAAGTGAAATGGAGCATCTTCCAGATGCAGCAGATTCCAATGATTGTCAAATCCGATTTTTTCCGGGTTTCAATTGAAGCGGAGCCGGTCACAGATCTAGGATATTCGTGTTGCATTCGAATACGCATTTATTTTTGTAGGAGTGGAGCAGGTCTTCGATCCAGAGGATTCTTATTGAATGCGTATTCAGAGAGACAGCCGCGAACGCCATGTTTCAGAGAAGCGTCGTCGTCTTCCTGTTGCAACTTAAGTTCGTCTTCTTACTTCATCGCCGTCCTCCTCCTTCTCCTCCTCACTTGCCCTCTCCCGTAACAGTTTTGGTTCAATCTGGCGCACCATTGCGAGTGCCGAATGGGCACCGCTAGTCCGCGGCCAGCTTTCAATAGTAGCCGCGCGGGGGCTCTACGCAGCGCGCGGACTCCGCCTGGACGGGGACGCAACCAAGGTGTGGAACCCGCGCGACTTGCAGCTGCCTGCGACCCTGGCCGTAGCGGAGACACCCGAGCTCACGTGCGCGGGCGGCCGCTTGCCCTTCCTCGGCAGGGCCGCGGCCGAGGACTTCGGCGGAGACCGCGACCCGGCGGCGACCAGCTTCGGCGCAACGGCCGCGCCGGAGACGGCGACCCGGCACTTGGCGGCCCATTCGGCGGCCTTCGAGACCTTGCGCAAGCGCGGCTTGATGGCGCAGGACGAGCTGGCGCTCCTTCGCACCTTCGCGAACGGAGCTGCCTTGCACCACGCTCGCGCGCACTTGTTCAGCGAGGCCTGGTGCGCCGACTGCGACGCTCGGGTCCTGGGGCACCCGTGAAGCGTGACTGGGCAGGCCTTGGCCGCGGCGGCGCGCGAGCAGGCCGGCCTCCCCCTGGTGGGCGGGGGGCTCGGCTTGCACGGCCTCGGGGAGCGTCGCCTGCCCGCCTTCGCGGGCTCCTGGCTGGCGTGTCTGGCCGAGGTGCGCCGCGAGCTCGGCCTTCCGTGCCTCGGGGCCTTCGCCGCGGCCTGCCCGTAGACCTGGGCGACGGCGAGAGAGGCGGGGCGCCTGGCAGGCGCGAGCGCCGCGGACTGGCTCCGCGCGGCAACGGAGCGCGAGGCGAAAGCGCAGCGGCCGGCACAGGAGCGGCGCCGCGCCCTCCTGCTCGCCTCCCTGCCGCCGCCAGAGCACGCGAGCCTCCGCTCGGCCAGCTAAAAAGGCGCCAGAACCTGGCCCCTCCCGCCCACAGAGCCGGACCACGTTTTGGCGGGCGAGCACTTTCCCCCGGCGCTGGCCTTGCGGCTCCGCCTGCCGCTGCCGCCGGGGGCCAGCGCAACGAGTCTCCGGCGCTGCCCCGACGGCCCGACCTGCGCGCGGGCCCCGGGCGCCCCCTGGCCGAGTTGCCCAGGCGGGGGCGGCGCTGTGCTGAAGCGCGACGGCGTGCGGGACTGGCTCGCGCGCTGGCTGGCGGCGCGGGGCGCCGCAGGCGTGAGGGCGGAGCAATTCGTCCTCGCCTGGGTCAGGCCGCGCCCGGACAGCGCCCTCGAGGCCGCGCGGCTGGGCGTGGCCTTCACCGGCCCGGTCGCCGGGGTCACCTACTCCGGCGCGGTGATCGCCGCCGCGGCCCTGGGCGCGGGCGCAGCCGCCGGGCGGAGCCGCGCCGCGCGCGACGGGGCCGCGGCGGCGGCGGCGGAGGCCCGCAAACACAGGCGCGGGGGGGGATTCAGACCTCCATGCATCGTCGCAACCACCTGGCCCGCGGCCCGCGGCGGCCTTTGCGCCGCTGCTGGAGCAAACGCCGCGGACCGCCCTCTGCCGGCGACGCCGCGGCTGGCCCGCGCCCCGCGGCCCGGCCGCGGCTGCGCGGGGCAGCGGCTTCCGGCTGGCCGCTGCAGCCGCGGACGCGCGGGGGCGGCGCGGCGCGCAGGGCGCGCGGCGCGGCGCGGGCGCGGGCGCTTGCGCGCGGCGGCTCGCGGCTCCGCGCGCCGCGGTCCGCAGGCGGCGGGCCCCCGCCGGAGCCCGGGGGAACCCGCGCCGCGCTGCCAGGAGGAGGAGGAGGAGGAGGAGGAGGAGGAGGAGGAGGAGGGAGGAGGAGGAAGGAGGAGGAGGAGGAGGAGGCGGAGGAGGCGGAGGGGGCGGAGGAGGCGGAGGAGGCGGGGAGGCGGAGGAGGCGGAGGAGGAGGAGTTGGAGGCGGAAGAGGAGGAGGAGGAGGAGGAAGAGGAGGAGGAGGAGGAGGAGGAGGAGGAGGAGGAGGAGGAGGAGGAGGAGGAGAGGAGGAGGAGAGGAGGGAGGAGAGGAGAGGAGGAAGGTGGAGAAGGAGGAGGTGGAGAGGAGGAGGAGGAGGAGGAGGAGGAGGAGGAGGAGGAGGAGGAGGAGGAGGAGAGGAGGGAGGGGAGGAGGGGGGGAATGGGAGGGGGAAGGGGAGAGGAGGAGGAGGGGGAAGGGGCAGGAGGAGGGAGGAGGAGGAGGAGGAGGAGGAGGAGGAGGAGGAGGAGGCGGAGGAGGAGGAGGAGGAGGAGGAGGAGAGGAGGAGGAGGAGGAGGAGGAGGAGGAGGAGGAGGAGGAGGAGGAGGAGGAGGAGGAGAGAGGAGGGAGGAGGAGGAGGAGGAGGAGGAGGAGGAGGAGGAGGAGGAGAGAGGAGGAGTCCCGTCCGCCGTCCGCCGTTCGCCGTAGGAGGTCGGGGGGGAAGGAGGACGGCGGACGGCGGACGGACTCCTCTGTTTTCCTCGTCGCTCCTCACCCCTCAGTTCTCCTCCTCCCCCCTCCCTGCCCTCTCCCCTCCTCGCTCCCCGCTGAACATTCCTCACTCGTCTTGTTCCTTTCCTCTTCCCTTTCCTTTCCTAATCCCCCTGCCCCCCCACTCCTCCTCTTCCTCGCTTTCCTTCCTCCCTCCTGCGCCCTCCTCTCTCCTCCCTCCTGCTTCCTTGCGGAGGAGGAGGGAGGGGGGCCTTCAATAAGTCACTGCTTCTCCTCCTCCTCCTCCTCCTTTTCCTCTTTCTCCTCCTCCTCCTCCTCCTCCTCCTCCTCCTCCTCCTCTCCTTGTCCTCGTATCCTCTTCTTCCTCCTCCTCCTCCTTCCCTCCGCCTCGTCCTCGTCCTCGTCCTCCTCCTCAGCGTCCTCTTCCTCCTCCTCCTCCTCCTCCTCCTCCTCTTCCGCCTCTTGCTCCCACCAATTCTCCTCACCTTCCTCCTCCTCCTCCTTCTATCACTCCTGCTTCTGCGTGTCTTTCACGTGGGCACCGGCGGAGGAGGAGACGGAGGGAGGATAATGAGAAGGGGAAGAGTGCGGACGAGGAGTTGCCAGCATATGTTAACGAGGATGATGAGGAGGAGGTGACCGAGGGGCCACTCGTTTCCATCCTCCTTTCTCCTCAGTGTCCTCGAGCTTCAACAGGGAAGGGGTATATCCCACATCCACAGTATTCCTATTGTATTCGCCCAGGATTCTCATCTGCTTTCAATCGAAACGGGAGAAATCGCACACACAGAGGGTTCATATAGCATTCGAATCGGGTTCTGACGCGACTTCCACGGGGGGGTGGAAGTTGTCCCATATTCAGATTCTTCCGATTGACTTTGGATGGGGTACTAAGCAAGCGGCAACAACAACGGAGCAGCTCCCAGTCCGAAAGGGTTTTTTTTGTTTTTTTCGATATGTTTCTAATCGGGCTTCAATCGGACCGGGGCAGATCCCAGATCCAGAGGGTTCTTATTGGATTTGAATCGGATTCTAATCGGATTCCCATAGAAACGGTGTGGATCCCAGGTCCAAATTCTTCCTCTGACGTTTGATCAAAAGGAAAAGGGCAGGCCCCAGATCAAGATGATTCCTATCAATCTTGGACATGGCTCTGATAAGACTGCAAAGGGGAATGGGCGTGATCCCAGATCCAGGGGGTTCCTATTCACTCTGGGTGGGGTTCCAGGCGAATTTCAATATGAATGGAACAGGCCCGAGATCCAGAGGATCCCCATTGAATTCGAACGGGGCCTTTCTAGGATTCCAATAAGAGAGGGGCAGATCCCAGATCCCAGATCCAGCGGACTCCGAGTGTATGCGAATCGGATTCTAGCCTGATTTCAATAGAGGCGGGGCAGGCACCATATCCGAAAAGTTCATGTCATTGCAGAGTCATTGCATGCTGTGGAGTTTTTGATCAGATATCAAGAGGAGAAGAGCAGATCCCAGATCCAGGGGATTCCTATTGACTGTGGGCAGAACTCTCATCTGATATCAACAGAGGCGGAGCAGATCCCAGATCCAGACGATTCCCGTTCATTTTGACTGGGATTTCTTCGGCTTCCAATAGAAACGGAACATTTCCCAGATCCAGATGATTCCGTTGATGAGGGGGGGACGGAAGCAGAACGAGGTGGACAGCATCAAAGAAGAGGAGGATGAGGCGATGCTGAGAAGGATAAGGACACATGATGTTGGGAGTGGAAGGGGGATGCTGAGGAGGAGGATGATGAGGATGATGATGATGATGATGATGATGATGATGAGGAGGAGGAGGAGGAGGAGGAGGAGGAGGAGGAGGAGAGAGGAGGGGACAGGAGGACGAGATCTGAGGACGAGAGCGGCTGATTTTGCAGATGATAACGATACTGATGATGATGATGATGATGATGATGAGGATGATGAGGATGATGAGGATGATGTTGCTGATGACTATGATGCTGCTGCTGATGATGATGATGATGATGATGATGCTGATGATGATGATGATACTGATGATGATGCTAATTATGATGGTGATGCTGATGCTGATGGTGATGCTGATGGTGATAGTTACAATGCTGCTGATGCTGATGCAGGTGATGGTGATGGTGATGATGCTGATGACGATGATGATGATGATGATGATGATGATGATGATGATGCTGATGATGATGATGATGCTGATGCTGATGCTGATGATGATGATGGTGGTGATGATGCTGATGATGATGCTGATGGTGCTGATGATGAGGGTGAACATGAGGAGGCGGAGGATGCCTTCCCCAGTCCGTCGTTTGAGGTTGTTAGGGGGGGCGCATCCATACATATAGGTATATACACCTGATTGCACATGTGTGTGAGTGGTCTCCCCCCCCCCACGTGGGAATGCACGCGATTTATGCGTACGCGCAGGTAAAATTATACACATATGTATTCAAGCATGCACGCGTGCACACGCAGTTATCCGTTCATGTATATATTAACATAAATGTATATATGTATATCTATATGCACATATAGATGTCAACGAATTCGTTTAGAGGAAATTGTAGATCCATAAGGGGGAACCTCACGCGCACTCATATGCACACGCACGCACGCACATGCACACATATACACATATACACAGATGCGAATCTCTCTCTATGTATATATACACATACAAGTTGCACGTGTGCTCAGGCTCTTAGAAACATACTTGCAGCATGTACGCATCGCATCCGAGATGGATGGGGAGGCAGGAGATGGAGAAGCAGATAGTACAGGAGAGAAGTATGAACATGAGGATCACAAGGGAGCTGTTGGAAAGGTGGTGCATCACCGGGATCCCAGTCGAACGCTTGTGGGGTTGCCACGCCTTACGGTGTGTGTGTGTGTGTGTGTGTGTGTGTGGTGCAGGAGGGCGTTCCACACCTTGTGATTGCAGTTGGAAAGGAACTCCAAAGCCATTTCTTGGAGGATCTCTCGAGCGCAACTGTCATTTTGATTCGAAGGTCGCGATTTGCGTGAGGGGTGCGCCTGGTTTTCAGAATTTGAGGATGTCCCGAGCGAGACGTCTAAACGATCACGGACGGGTCCTTTCATTAACCGTCTCTCAGCTTGGCTCCCTCGGAGAGGTGCTTATGGTCAGATGTTTGTGCATGCATATATATATATATATATATATATATATATATGTATGTATGTACGTACGTACGTATGTACGTATGTGCGTATGCATGTATCTATATGCACATAAATATAACAGCGCATGCTTCTTTAAACATATGTAGCCTCGTTTGTGGGTGAGAGGGAGAGAGAGAGAGAGAGAGAGAAACAACAAACAACAGGGATAGAGAGAGAGGGAGAGAGAAACAGCGAGAGAGGGAGATAGAGAGATAGAGAGAGAGAGAGAGCGAGAGAAGAGGACGGCGACCGGTGCTAACGCGAAGGTCAAGGCAATTTGACCGCGCCAGCCCCTGCTCACCCTTGTGGTAGCGGGGCCCTCGAACCGTGAAAAGACAGCGTTGTCGTCACACCGAATCGAGCATGCTGAGAGCTGCATGGCACGCTACCTGCGCTGAGGCGAGCGTTGCCCACAGAGAGTGCGACCATCCACAGCGTTTGCTAACTTACGGGCCGCCAGCTGTGGGAGACCTCGCGGACAAAGCGCGGGGTGCGGCGGCGGGTGTGCACGAACCCCGCGCGCGGCGGAGAGCGGCGGTAGGTCGGAGGGCATTGCCCTTCCGATACCAAAGAAACAGGCATCGGATTAGAGAAGCGTAGCGTCAATCCCGCGAAAGCAGCAGCGCCCAGCGGCGAGAGAGGGACGGGTGAAATCCTTGAAAGTTTTCGTCCTCCTCCTCCGCTCCGTGGGCATGCCTCATCCTCTGCGGGCCTTCGACGAGTGCTGCAAGGTAGGGCTGTCCGCCTGCCTGTCGCCGCCGCCGCTGAGGGTGTCGTTGTCGAAGGCGGATGACTTTTTTCTTGGTCGTGACCGCCTGCGTCCGCCCTGTTCTCTTTCGGAGTGCTGCCTCCTCTGGCTCCTTGGTTCATTACTTGTCCCACCCCCTCCTCCCTGGAGGCGATCCTGATCAAAACGTTCGAGGACACGGGCCCGCGGCGCTGTGCGCCCCCTCTTGGGATGGCGCAGAGGAGGGGAGGGGGAAGTAGGAGGAGGGCCGAACATGGCGGGTTATTGGGAGTGGAGGAGGAGGAGATCATGGGCGGATCTGCGTGAAGATGAGAAACCCCAGGTCGGGACGATCGGTATGGGTACGGAGAGAATGGGCGCAAAGACCGACAGCAGTTCCTGTTCATTCTGGAACCGAAGTCGCTGCTGGTATCGCCGCGGCCGTTGTCCATTTGAGGCAGAAGGCCGCCTGTCCAACAGCGGCCGCTGTCGGTGTTGGACAACATGTGTTGTGTTAGGGATCGTATCCATTCTTCCGTGCCCATTTCGATCGCCCAAAGTAAAGGAGGATGAGGATGGGCAAATGGGTGGTGGGGGAGAAGATGATGAGTGGGGGGATGGGGATGAGGATGGGGATGATGGGGACTGGTTCGATGCACGAATCCATGGATGAGTCGGTTGTTCCGTCCCCTGATGAGTTGTTCCCCGCGCTTCTGTCCAGGAGCGAATGAAGACCCGAGAAGGTTCTAAGAGGCTCCCTATGCAGAGATTTCTCATGTTCTGCGCAGAGGTCTCGTATTAATGGATGATGCGAGTCTAACAGGCTTGTTATAAGCTTGTTAGGGGCTTCTCAGAGGTTCGCTACTGCAGTTCCCCGTACTCCACCGTGTCCCACCACGCCATGATCCGCAGCTCCTTCCCCAGGCGCCCGTTGTCATGGTCCGCTGGGTTTGGGTCCTCCGGCAACTCGTCGTAGTGTTCCGTGGGCGGTTCCGCCCTCGTCTTTGCTTTTTGGTCCGTCGGGCTGCCTCTACGTACTCTGCTCGCGAACCCCCGCTGGGGTGGTCGCAGAACTCGTGGGCTTTGGCCTGGTCCTCCTGCTGGAGGTCGGCGAAACTCTGCAAGGCATCCTGCGGCCCCAAACCGCCTTCGACACAGCTAGCATGGTAGCACCGCGGGTTGGCCGTGCTGGCGGCGCTGCGCGCGTGTGGGTGTTTTCTGGTGATGGGGCCTCTACGCGAGGAGGCGAAGCACGTGCATCAATGTGCCACTTGGCCACATTGGACCCCTGGGTTGCCAGTCTGGGCTGTGCGTGCGGCTACGGCGGAGCGGGCGCAGCATGCAGGCCCTGGGCCTCCAGCCAGGGCATCCCGCGGCGGCGACCGTGACATTGAGGAGGCAGCAGAGCCATGGTGCTGTGTGGACGCCCCTCGTCGTGACCAGAAGGCCCCCCAGCCCAAACAGCCGCCGAGCGCCGCCCAACCGCAGGGCGTTGAGGACCATTATGGGCGCTGTGAAGCCCGAAGTGGCGGCTTTCAGGGAAGCCGTGGGCACACCGCCTGCTGTAGCTCCCTGGCCCGCCGCGGTGAGCAGCAGCGTGGCAAGAGCCTCGGGGAGGAGCACCTGGAAGAGGCCCCAGAGTATGACGGTCGATGTCAACCGCGGGGCCACGAATGCCCCCAGGAGCGCTGTGTCGATAGATCGGAGTATCTTGGAGAAAGGGTCTGCGGCGCCGAGCCGAGGCGGTCCCGCACTCGTTGGTCGTGCAGGCCGCGCCGCTGGCGGATCGCGCACAAGATCGGAGGTGGCGGAGGAAGTTCAACTCCGCGCTGCAGGTGGCGTGGCCTTTTGGGACCGGCGGGAGGGGCGTCGCTTCCTCCCTTTACAATTACTCAATATGAATACTACTCTCCTTCTTCCCCTGATGACGGAATGGGAGTAGCCGACCCCCCCCCGCGTAATGTTTCTTTACACACAGGTATCCCCGGAGTTGAGTTTTCGCTTGCATTTGTTTCCAAAATGCTGCTCTCGCTGAGGCGCCGGCCTCATTTTCGGGCCCCGCTCGTTCCGAATCGTGCTCCCGCTGCAGCGCTGGCATCATTTCCGCCGGCCTCCGGGCTGCACGCCCGAGCCGGCGCCCGGGCCGGCGCCCGGGCCGGGTCCGGAGCCGGTTCCGGCCGGCGCCGGAAAATCGAGTTCCGAGGCGGCGCCGAAAAAAGGCCATTCCAATACACATATTTCTTTTGAAAATGCTGAATTTCTGCTTCCGGCGCCCGGGGGGAGGCCTCCCGGGCCGATTCCGATGCCCGGGCCGGCGCCTGAGGGCCGGACGCCCGAGCCCGCGCCCGGGCCAGCGCCCGGGCTGGGTCCGGAGCCGGTTCTGGCCGGCGTCGATGAATCGCGTTCGAGGCGGCGCCGGAAAAAGGCCATTCCAATACACATTTTTCTTTTGAAAATGCTGAATTCCTGCTTTGGCGCCCTGGAAGCCTCCCGGGCCGATTCCGGCGTGCTTCCGCTCGTTCCGAATCGTGCTCCAGCGCTGGCCTCATTTCCGCGCTTCCGCTCGTTTCGACTCGTGCTCCCGCTGCAGCGCTGGCGTCATTTCCCGTGCCATGCCACGGCATGCAATGCAATGCAATGCTAGGTTGATACTACGCTTTGCGGTGCTCTTCTACGCCATGCCACGCCGTGCTCTACAATGCATCTCGTACCCTTTCGGGATCATAGCCCTGCTCGACATCCGACTGTGCGAGTAGAGAGGGGATCTGCGCCATGGTAAGGGATGGGAGAGAGGGGTAGGATGTCAGATATGACGCGAGCGCACCTAGCTTGCCTGCACCCCCTTTTCCCCCTCCATGGTAGCTCCCGAAAGCGTCTGAAGGCCGCTCAAATCAGCTTGGCACTGCCGAAGACATCCGAAATCCTCCCCCTCCTCCTCCTACTCCCCCCCCGCGGCCTCTTCTTCTTTTTCCTCCTCCTCCTCCTCCTCTTCCTCCTCCTCCTCCTCCAACCCCTCGTCCTCTCCCCCGTCGCTCGTCCCCCTCCTTCCCCGCTTCCTCTGCCATCCACCGAGGACCTCGACCGGGAGCTCCTGGTCTCGCAGCCCGGCATCCAGGACGGCTGCGGGGCGGCGCTAGCGCTGCTCGCGGGAGACCAGCTGCTGACCGCCGTGGTCGGCAGGTGCAGTGCCATAGTTGTCGAGCCGGGCGAGGACGGAGAGGCCGTCGGCACTGGGGTCCTCCACAACCTGGGCAGCCGGGGGCAACGAAACGGGCCAGGGGCAACTTTGAGGGGGGGGACAAGGTTAGAGGGGAGGGCATCGACCCCGAGTCGCCCACTAACCTGGGCAGCGCAGGACAACGAAACGGGTCAGGGGCAATGTTCAGAGGGGGGGCAAGGCTGGAGGGGACAGCATCGACCCCGAGTCGTCCACTCGTCGACGGTAATCAGGGGCCTGGTGGCCCAATCCGCCCAGGAAAGTGCGAATTCGCTATCGGGGGCCCATCGCCGGTCTGTCGGCGGTGTATTGCCGATTCCAGATCGATGCTTCCCCCCCGAGCCAGTCCGCCCCCATCATTGCCCGTCGAACAGGGAAATAAACAGCGACCACACGCGAACACCCTGCCCCTGCCGTCCCTGCGGGTTCAGCTGGCGCTGGGCATATCGGGCGCCCTGTCGGGGTTCACCCAGCTGCAGGCACCTTTCACATTCTGCCCCTCCCGCCAGCGTTTCGGCCTGCAAGGGTAAATTAAAGCTCGCATTTGGGTGCCAAATTTGGGAGGACAGGGACTGGCTCGGGTGTGTGTGGAGGGAACATCGACCCCAAGTTGCCCGTTCATCGCTGCTAGGGCGTGGGTGTCCCACTAGTGCCAGGGAGCGTGCCGTTTCGCCTATGGGGGGAGGTCGGCGGGGCATCCGGCGACGTATCGTGGATTCCATGCAAATTTTTGCACACCTTTCTTGTCCCCCCTCCCTCCGCTCCCCCCCTCTCAGGCAAGAACCAGGGCCGCTGCGACCTGCCCGGGGAGCAGTCCTGGCTGCGCCAGCACGGCGGCGTCGTTTTTCGCACGCAGAGCCGTGGTCGGCTGCCACCCCCGAAAGGTCAGCGGGCCCCAGACCCTCTGGAGGCGAAGTTGCAGCCCAAATGGCCAAGTTTGCCAGTTTGGGGTGATTCTCGACCTCTGGAGGGTCTGTTTGGTTGCTCCTGGGCCCCCTGGCCCAGGGGGGATTGCGGATCCTGCTGCGTGCAGACGCTTCTCCTTTCACGGTCGCTCCCTGCGCCAGGAAGACCATCTGCATGCAGCCGAGTCCCGTGGCGCCCCTTTTACTACCGTTATTGGAGTGCAAGCGCCCATCCAGAAACGACGCTTCGACGGGGCCGCCCTCAGACCCCACATATCAACGTTGCCCTTGCAGCCTTGGTTGAGGTGCCGTGATCGGCATACAAAGCGTCCAGAATTCAGCCGCCAAGGAAGACCTGGTCTCAAAGTTGACAGTGCGTGTGTGCGTGTGCGTGTGCGTGTGCGTGTGCGTGTGTGTGTGTGTGTGTGTGTGTGTGTGTGTACGCGGGGCGCTCAAAACACATTGGCGTGGGTTTTCATACCCTCTGATTGTTTATTTGTTTGCATGTGTGTATATACATGTGTGCTTGTGTCCGCGCACAGTGCGGCCAATCTACTTTGAGCACAGCTCGCCGTTGTGGTGCTTGACGAGCCGACTGCAACTCGTCGACGCGTTGGATGAAAAGTGTGTGTGTGTGTGTGTATTTGCGTGTGTGTGAATGTGAAAGTGTGTGTGTGTGTGTGTGTGTGCGGGGGGGCTGGCCGCGCGCGCTTGCTCGCTCCGACTGCTCGACGTGCTCCGCCTCGTCGCCGCGCGCGAGGCCGCGACAGCGCAAAAAGAAAGTGTGTGTGTGTGTGTGTTTGGTGCCACGTGCGTTGGTTTTCTTACCTCTGCGTTGATCGCACTTTAAGGGATTTTGTTGCTGCTTAGCTTATTCTCGTTTGCCGATTTACGCGTTGATCGGCTATGAGGCCTATTGCCCCGCCTGCATGCGCCCGAAAAGCGTGTGTGTGTGTGGTTTCACTGTCTAACATCGCTGTTGTGAGCCAGTGGCTGCAATTCGCTGGTGGCTCTCGCGCGCTTCAGTTGATTCTGAGTTGAGTAATCTCCTCATGCTCTGGCCGCTGCACGTTTCGCCTGGACTTACAGTTCCTCTTTCACACCCATCGCTTGCATGTTGCGGTGGTGTTGTTTGCGCGCCGTGCTATCGACATTGCCAGGTCGCAATTAGCACTTCCATCTGTTGCTCGCGCTTGAGGACCTTCTGCGCCGCCGACTGATATATATATATATATGTATATATACCTACCTACCTACCTACCTACCTACCTACCTACATACATACATACATACATACATACATACATACATACAATCATGCATACAAACATACATACATACAGACATACAGACAGACAGACAGACATACATACATACATACATGCATACACATGTGTGTGTGTGTGTGTTTGTGTATGTTCCGCCCCGCCACCGCCTCTTGTTTGGCGGCTCCCCGTCTACCACTCGCCCCCTCCTGCGGTGTTTCCGCCGTCTCCCTCACGTTCCTGTCAGCTACACCTGTGCTCCACGTCCTGCCCTGTCACTCGCCTCTCGCGGTTTCCCCTTTGCCGCCGCCATTGCGTCTCGTCCTCGTCTCATTCTCGTCTTTCCCCCGCGTCTTTCCCTCCGCATCCCTGATCCGGGTTTGCGTATGATATGGCTGATCCCCCATGGATGGATCCTTGTCCCCGGCTTCTGAGTGGGCCAGCCGCGCGCGTTTCCCGCTTTCCGCTCTTCGACCCTCTACGCCCCGACGCTGCGCGCGAGGCCGCGACTCCCCAAAAAGTATATGAGTGTGTGAGTGCGTCTGGGAGTGCTTTAAGGCTCTAAGTCTCACGGCGGCGCCCCCTTCCCCCTTGACCCTCCCCTGGCCCTTCGGGTGGCCAGCCGACCGCGGGCACAGAACGGTGAGCTGCGGGTGCGGAGCGGCGCCACCGGCGTCGAGGCCGCCGTGTCCAGGTCCCTCGGCGATCGCGCGCTGAAGGGCGCCGCCGCCCCGTCCGCCGCCGCCGCCGCCGTCGGGGAAAGAGAGAGAGAGCAGTGGATAAAGAGAGAGGGGGGTAGGACGAGAGGGTGGCGGAGGCGGGTGATCAGAGGGAAGGGAGGGGGAGAGGGAGGGGGAGAGGAAAGTGGATCAGGCAGGAGGAGAGGGGGGAGGGGGGGAAGGGAAGGAAATTTGGAGGGGGGTGGGCGAGAAGGAGGACGCCCCCATGGCCTCCACGATGAGGTGGGACACTCGATGGCGCAGACGATGACGTGATGAGGATAATGAAGATGTTGGCGATGATCGTGGCACGACGAAACGACGACAAAAACGACGATGACAGCAAAAACGACGACGGCGACAGCCCCTCGCCGTGTGCCAGCGGCCGAGCCCGGCAGGCCCGTCGGGCGGTGACCCGCTGCAGCTCGGGCTGGCGCCGGAGGCGCGGCGCGCCTCGGGTCTGGCCGCCTTTCAGGGATGCGAGGAGGGCCTTTGTCGGCGGAGGAGCAGGAGCAGGAGCAGGAGGGGAGGAGGAAGAGGAGGAGGAGGAGGAGGAGCGAGGGGGAGGAGGAGTGATGATGATGAGGAGGAGGAGTAGGAGGAGGAGGATGCGTGATGATGGAGATGCTGATGCTGATGATGCTGCTGATGATGCTGATGATGACTATGCTGATGATGACGATGATGACGATGAGGATAAGGATGAGGAAGAGGATGAGGATGAGGAGAGTGAGTGAGGAGAGTGATGATGACGATGATGATACTGATGATGATGACGATGATGAGGATGGGGATGATGAGGTTGAGGATGATGAAGATGACGAGGATGAGGATGAGGACGAGGATGAGAACGATGATGATGATGATGATGATCATGATGATGATGCTGATGCTGCTGCTGATGATGATGATGCTGACGATGACGACGATCATGATGATGCTGGTGATGACGGAGATGATGATGACTTCGATACTGATTATCATGATGATGATGCTGACGATGATGACAACGATGGTGGTGACGATGTTGATTATGAGGAAAAGGAGAAGGAAGAGGATGAGGAGTGATGATGATGATTATGCTGATGATGATGGTGATGATGATGCTGATTATGATGATGATGATGCTGTGCTGCTGATGATAATGATGCTGACGACGATGACGACGATTATGGTGATGGTGATGGTGGTGATGATGATGCTGATGGTGATGATGATGGTGACGATGATGATGATGATGATGATGATGATGATGATGATGATGCTGATGATGATGATGATGATGATGATGATGATGATGATTCTTAGCCTGATATTTTTGTCTGATGCTGATGCTGCTGCTGATGATGATGATGGTGATGATGCTGATGCTGTTGTTGTCGTTAATGATGCTGTTGCTGATGATGCTGATGCTGATGCTGATGATGTTGATGTTGATGCTTCTGATGATGCTGATGACTATGATGATGATTATGCTGATGCTGATGCTGATGATGCTGATGATGACGATGATGATGCTGATGATGATGACGATGATGATGATGATGCTGATGCTGCTGATGATGCTGAATGGTGATGATGGTGATGATGATGAGGATGATTATGCTGATGATGATGATGATTGTGATGATGCTGCTGATGATGATGATGATGATGATGATGATGACGGTGGTGATGATGATGGTGATGATGGTGGTGATGACGATGACGATGCTGATGCTGATGATGACGATGCTGATGCTGATGATGATGATGATGATGATGATGATGGTGATGATGATGCTGATGCTGATGATGATGATGCTGATGCTGATGCTGATGCTGATGATGATGATGATGATGATGATGATGATGATGATGATGATGATGATGATGATGATGATGATGATGATGTGGAGACGATGTCAATCCGAAGATTGCTCGGCGCGACGGCCGCAACGCCACCGACGGGAGGGACCCTCACTCCAGTCAGCGGCAGGTGAGCAGGAGGCCCACCACCACAGGCCCAAGGGGGCCCATCACCAAGACCCCAAAGGGGCCAGACCCAGCAGACGAGGAGAGCCACCCACAACCAGACCAGGAAGCCCAAGGATCCCCGCTGACAGAAGCAGGCCCCCCCCCGCGACCTCCTCAGGTGTCCGAGTATTCCTCGACGAGGTCCTCGACGAGGTGCTTCAGCCACGCCTCGAGGCCCGCGCGGTCGACACCCATGATGTCGTGGTCCCGCTTGAGGGTATCGAAGTCGGCGTCGTCCATGAACTGCAGCGCCTGCAGGATCTTGACTGCGTCCGTCTTGCCCTTCGCGCCGCCTCCCTCCAGGTCGCCGTCGCCCATGTCGACGTTGGTCCTGGAGCTCTGGCTCTTCTGCTTGTCCTTCTTCTTGTCCTTGCCCTTCTTGGGCCAGGAGCGCCAGGAGAGCCCAGCATCCGCTCCTTCTGGAGGCCTTCCTTCAGCGCCGCCATCCTTGCTGAGCTCCGTGTGAAGCACACAAGCAGCACCGCGTAGATCTTCAGCACTTCGACGGCCTGCCCCAGATAGTCCTCCTTCGGCCTGGGGTTGAGCCACATCCTGAACTCCAGCTGCACCATGACCACCCTGAACTTTACAAGGCTGGTCCAAACCGGTGCCAGCTCCAGCAGCACGATCACCACCTCGAACTTCGCAAGAATGGGCCAAAGCAGTGCTACCTTCGATGGTGAGCTTGTACTTCCCGTCGGACTCTTCCCCCGCCTCGCCGATGTAGAAATTAACACACTCCCTGGGATTCGGCCCAGGGTCTCTCTGCCCACATCCATGCATCACCCTAGCGCGCCCATGGAGCTGTCGGAAAGCGCGGTTGCGGCCTCCTCGCTCCTGGGCTACTCACCTGTGGTGACGACTCCATCTTGTTCTTCTGGCTCTTCTTGTCCTTCTTGTCCTTCTTATTCTTCTGCTTGCGCTTGCTGACCACCGAGCTGGACGAAGACGACCTCCGCCTTCTCCGCGATCGCGGGCGCCTCTTGCCCTTGCTGCTCGGCTGGTCCCCCGTCGCAGGCAGGGACTTCGCGCCGATCGTGTTCTGCCAGACCTCCGCCTCCATCGGCTGCGAACGCTGCAGGCTGTGGTGGTACGCGTCCAGCTCCCGCACCTCCTCCTGCCGAGTCGCCTCTTCCTTCGACAGCACCGCCTGCGGCCTGGCCCCGCGCCACGCCTCCGGTGCCTGCGGCTCCCCCAGTACCCCGGCGGCGGTGCCAGGACTACTGCCGTCAGGATGGGGAAGATGGGCGACTTGGTCGGGCTCGCCTTCGGTGGCGCCACGACCGACCCTGAGGTCCTTCTCCTCCGCGGCGGTGTGACTGAGGCCCGAGAGCCCATCGTTCAGCACCACCTTCACCTCCAGCTCATCGATGCCGCTCACGCCCTCCGTGAAGCGCTGCGCCAGAGATGCAAGCGCCACCTGCGCGCTGTCGCACTCCAGCAGCGCCGAGGGAAGGAGCAAGCGAAAAAGCACCAGGCGCTAGCCATCTGCTCCCGCGATTTGCGCCGCTTCCAATCGCGCGCGCGGAACCCCATGCCCCACCCAGCCTGAGGGGAAACGGCTATGATGATGATGCTGCTGATGATGATGATGATGGTGATGATGATGACGGGGAGGAGGAGGAGGGGGAGGAGGAGGAGGAGGAGGAGGAGGGCTGATGCTGCTGATGCTGCTGATGATGATGTTCCTGTTGCTGTTGTTGTTATGTTTGTGGTTGTTGCTGCTTTTGCTGTTGTTGCTGGTGGTGGGGATGATGATGGTGATTCAGTAAATATGCTCCTCTCCGCCTCATCGTGCACTTGCCTCTCCTGCTGCCTGCCTTGCCATACCTTGACATTGGTATCACTGTATACCGAAGCTGTATCTACTGCTCGAGTGAGAAAAGGAGCGCGCCGGGGGGCGCGTGGGCGGCCCGTGTCGTCGTCCGTCCCTGGCCGGACTCTTCACTTCCTATACTTGAGTGTAGTTGCTTAACGGATAACCCATAGTTTCATCGATGTCTCATCCCGTATCATCTACCATTGAGCAGAGTCAACATGAGACCTTAATTCCTTTGGCATTTTACCCCGATTCTCAGAGAAAAGACTGGTTATCAGCCGAAGCCCGCGACCAAGTCGCAACAGGGATGAGCTATGATGAGACAGCCGAATTGCCCGTCGGATCCCACGTTGTACAACGGGACGGGCAAGAACATAAGGATAGCGGCCCGAGGAGGGCCGCCTTCTCTCTTCTTCTAACACCACTCGGATTTCTCGTGGAAGTGGTGAGGGAGAAATCGTAGATTTGTCAGTAGATGGTTCTCCCACTCGCATTCCGATCAGGGATCGTGAACAGACCCCAGACCCGATAAGGCGGGACGGCACAGCAGCAAATGTCAGGCGAAGAGCCTTTTCATCTTGGATTGTTGAATCCTTTGAGCCGATACATTCCAGCCTAATTGCCATGCGGTCCGTCGAGCCGGCCGCTGGCCTAGCCAGTGGGTCGCAAGACGTAGAAGAGTCCGGCGGCGTGTGCCCCACCGTCCCAGACGGATGGGGGCGTACGCAAGGGACTTATCCCATCCCGATAGCCTTGAACGGACAACCCGGTCAAGATAGCGACGAACAGCTTGATGACGAAGACGATATAAACTCCATGGAGGAAGACGTAGAATATGCAAGTTATCAAGTATCACCAAGCCAAGATTTGTCGCTAATGAACGCTGCTGACCACCCCGTCCCGGACGGAAGGTCATCCCCTGGGCAAGAGACCGTTGATTGCGATCACTTGGAAGCCCTTGGGAAGGCGCTCGCAGAGCCAGACTCAGACACCATGATCAGTGACCTGCCGCCCCAGGCGGTCGAGGTTGAAATGGGCTACCAATATCATGTGAAGCATGGCCGGGGGGCCACGGGACGAACGCCCGCTCCT